CTTGAAGGCATCAGGTACTTTGGATAGGTGTAGCCTTGAAGATGTCCCTGTGAGACATGGTGGACTACATATGCAGAAGGTTTAAATAGGCAAGACCCCTAGTTGGCTTGCAGATATGGCACCTAGTATAGAACTTGTATAGTAATGTATAGGCGGACTACTTAAATTAGGCACCAAAAGTGCATGTGTGGCTAGTTGTAACCTCCAATGTAAGGAAGCCCCTAGAGGCACTCATGTTTAAATACATGAATAAAAACATCAACTCCCATAGACAGGGACTTTAACTTAAAAAAAAAAAAAAAAAAAAGTATGCCCAGTAAGTTAATACAGGTTATAGGTTTAGAAGATTTAAAATAGAATATCCAAGCAGAGATATTAGATATAGCAATTGGTAAAAAAACCTTTAAGCAAACTCCTTAAATAAATAATATAGAAAACTTATATATATAATTAATTGTACTCTTTCTTGTAATAGTTCATAGAATTATATTACTAAAAAAGTTGTTAATAAAAGTCAAAAGATCAAAAAAAATATTTTAATATTAAAAAAAAAATTTTAATCTTTTTTTGAAAATTTTTAATATATCTTTGTATTTTATCTTATAATATTTTATAAAGCTTTATATCTGATTTGGTTTTTATTTTAGATTACAAAATTAAAATTCTAAGATTTTACCTTTAGCCTAACTTAAACTATTGACTTATTTATAAGAAGTTATTAGCTTTATTGTTAAGCTATAAGTTTCAACTCTTATTATTAATAGTAAAGCAATGTTTTCTAAATCTTGTTTTATAAATATAATAACAATTTATTAAATATTATGTATGTTTTATTTATTTTATTAAAAAATATTTATTATATATATTAGTTATTAGTTTTTCTTATTAAAATTGTTAAACTTTTTTTATATTTCTTTAGTAAACTTATATTTTACTTATATATATTTTATTTTTTTTAGAATATTCTTTTATTGTTTATATTATTCATTATATTCAGTTTAATATTTATTCTATTTAATTTAATAACTTGTATGTTATATAGTTTTTTGTATAATATAAACAGATTTATATACAAAATTAAGTAACAATTCTTACAATTATAATTTTTTAAAGAATTTTTTTTTTTTTGTAACTACTTTATTAGTACTGCAATATACTTTGTTTTTAAACTTATTTAATCTTTTTTTTTGTTATTTTTTTTATTTAATATTGTTTAAAATATTTCTTATTATCAATTATGCAAAAAGTTTAGTTTTTCTTTAGCTGTTTCTGTGTTTAAGTAATTGTTAAGAAAAGTAATTATATTATTAAGTTTATATATAATTTTAAAATAGTATTCTTTATTTTTAAATTTATTATTTATTTAAAATGCATAATATAAACTCAATATATAAAATCTTATTACTTACAGATGATAGATAGAATCAAAATAGACAATTATATTTATCTGATTAGAAATTATTTTGTAAATAAGAAAGAAGCATATTATATTTAGTTTTTTGTTTTAGTGAAAATATGACTATGAATAAAATCAAATATATGACATATTATGAATATTAAGAATGTTTAAATTGCTAATAGTTCTAATATCATATTTGTGCATCTTTCTTATATTTTATATACTTTATATACTGTATTTTATTCCTTATTCTATAATTTATATTGTATTACATATATTAGTTATATTATATTATGTATTAATTATCCCATAGATATTGTTATAATTCATAGATATAATATTCAATACTTGTGTTCAGATAATTTGTATAAATAACCTCAACATTCCCTTGGGAATCGTCATTATCCATTCAATACAATATAATAAAGAGTAATCGTGTCTTCATACACGAATAACTCAAATAAACCACATATAATCAATACGACTACTTGTATCTTCATATACATTTAAGCGTTTGTCTCTTTCGTAATTGCAAATCACTGTAAAATCTCTTCATTTTAAAGCATTATTGTTAGTCTTTATTCTCATATAGAGGACGGCAAAAGGCATTTATTTATTATCGTCCCTAATTATACTGAACTCATATAAAAGGTAGTTTGAGTACAACAATACCTATCACTTGATCATATTTCTATACATTATAAGTCTTATATGTAACTTTATTTATTTTAGTTTACGTATTCAAAATTATTCTTTTTTACATGCAGAATCTTGTGAATTGATTAATTAATATTACAGTATTAGTACAACAATGATATTGATAGTTACAATCGTATACCTTTTATCTTTGTAAGTCGAATTTGAAAATACAAGTTGATGAAATATGGATCTCAAAAAAAAAAACCCCAAAGAAAAAATAAAAGAAATATTACTGGCTTGAAGCACCTGCCTCATCATTATCATCGTTATGATCATCTTGCAATTCCGATAATCGAGAGAACTCATTTGTGAATTTCAAGTCATTAGTAATCTTTACAATATTTTCAAATTCGTTTACTGCATCTTGTAATACACTAACTGAACAATGTTTAGAAATCAATTTTAATTCTTTGATTGAATTTTCTAATGATAATTTGACTATTGATTCATATTCTTTTGATATATTCATAATCACGAATTGTATTGTTGTAGCTTGTAATAATGAATATACTGGAAATAGAAAGTGATAAAATGCATCAGCGTCGAATTCACGAGTCGTTTTTGCAATATCAATAATCGCGATGGCTGAATTGAGACAAATTTGAATTGGGCTATGTTGTAACGATTTATGATTTTGATCTGTATGTGGTTGAGGTATTGGTATATAGAGTTCATGGACAAGAATTATGCAAGTATGAAAAAGTATATTTATAAATCCTAATTAACGATAAAAATTATTATAAAGATATTCAAATTATAAATACAGCACGATTTATTAACATAATAAGATAAATTACCAGTAAAATCTGAAAAGCTTGCCAATTGATAAATATTTCTCAAATCTGTAGCAGGAAGGTAAAGGTATTGTAATGTGCTTGGTAATTTTTTTAACCAATTTGCTAATGAAGATCGTATTTTCATAAGATCACTTAAAGGATTTGCTAAATGATGGCGCCAATCTTCACACGATGGTTTAGAACTAGGAGAATAACCGAAAGTCCAAATATGTCCAAGAATGTGCGAAAGTTCTACAAACGCTATAAAGTGATCCTTCACTAACTGAGAAAATGAAGCTAATTTTGGTAAAGGAACTCGGTTGGCCACAAAATTAATCACAGGAGGTTTTGATAGAAGAATTGAATGCCATCTAATGAATTGACAACATTATATACTTTTTATTACTATATTTATATTTAAAGTATTTAAAGTATGACCTATATTAGATAAAAGAATAAATACCTATCACGGATATATAAACAATAGTAAATTCTCTGTCTTTCTTCATTCTCACCAGGATCCAAAGAGTCATCGATCACATCGATGCGTAACAGATGTGCCATTTGAACTATTTTTTAAGATCAGATTAATTTTAAAAATAATGAATACCGTATGTAAAATTCTTATATAGCATAAAATTAAAAGTAATTACTTACTGGCCATACCAAGAAACATGTAACCATTATTGAATCTTGATGGGTGAATTTCACACATACTTAAAAGTAATAATGATTGTATAGTTTCCAATCTTGGAGTATCATACATTGTATCCAATAGTTTCTACAATAAAGTAAATATATATATATTATTTGATAAAATACATAAAAAAAGATATTATAGATATAATACATATACCATACCTTTGCAGAATCAAAGAAAATACCACCTGGTCTTGTCAGAGATTGTTTTAAAGAAGGATCATAAGGACATCTTGCAGAAACCATGGCTAGTATAGAATGAATCAACAATTCAAAATGTTTTGTTTTTTTTCTTTCGCATTGATCATTAAATTTTTTTGGATCAATAAAGGGAATGATAATATTAAGTTTTGTAAAATAAATATTTATCAAAGATTTACAAATATCATTTAATGAAGGATTTATCAACAGTCCTGATGGACTAGAAGTGGGGATGTTTTTTGTATTATTTATACGATAGCTAATCGTTTTTGGGGATTTTATTTGGTGACTTAAAAAAGTTGAGTTTGGAGAATTAATCTTAATGTTCATAATTTTACTAACTTTTACAATTAAATCAACTAAATAATAATAATTTGGATAAGTGGGATTAAGTAGAGAATTTAAAGGAGAAGATATTGATTTTATATCGGTTTGTTCATCAATACAAATTGGCAAATTGAGGATAATAGAATTTGAATTTTTGTTGGTAGTATTTTTAGAATTATTTGACTTCATAAATATATCTACTATTTTCTTGAGACGTTGAAATTCTTCAGACGTTAAAGATGATTTATCGTCAATACTTGTTGTAGATGAAGTTGGATTCAATACATTAACGGATATTGATGTTGGAGGTTGAATCTGAGAATATAATTCAAAATCATTCAATGCAGATAAATCATCTTGTGCATATAAATGAGAATTAAAGAAAATTTGTTGTTGAAACTGTAAAAAATCACGTGGTTGAAACTGTTGCGAACAAAAAAGTTGATTGGATCCCATTTCTTCGATATCACGGATATCTTCAGTATCCATAGTGGATTCATAAGTTCTTTTGAAAGGCAACATGTCGACAAAACTATTACGTACGTATGTATATTATGTATATAAGATTTTAAGGAAAATTAGGCGATAATTTTTTTGATGCAGAATTTGATACTATATATATAAATACTCAATAACTATTTATTTATTTATTTATTTCTAAGAAAAAGCTAACTTAAATTGGGGTCACAAGAATTATATTGATCCATTTATTGAAAATTAGCCGTAATTGATTGGTTAGAGGTTATATGGTACCAATAACTAGCTTGTAAACAAAGATGCAAGAATACCGGCGCATACAGGCATACAGTTAGGCATAATTTTTAGTCACAAATTAAAGATAGCCAACCAACTTAAAGATCATCACCAATTATAACTAATTATAACTAAATTTATCATAATCGACAAATAGGTTAAGTTCTAACGTTGTAAAATATTCATCGAAATGGTGTCATATCACGAAAATCCGAATACCTGGCCTCCTTAATTCTTTTGTTACAGTAAACACTGCTATTAGTAAGATTGGGATTGGGTATTTATCGGAATAGAATCTTAAATAATAAAAAGCATGAACAAAAAACCAGTATATTCTTCTAGTCGGGTATATTGAAAACCCGCATTCTGTTGTATAAAAATTTCACCTTTAGATTTCTTGATTTTCAGTTTGTGGAATTCAAGTATTAATATGTGTTTGACTCTCTCAGTAGTAACGCCAATTTTTAACCAATCTTCTATACTAATATTCAATAAACTTTACGAAAGAGTAAAATTTTTAAACTTTTAAGACTTGTAAATTTATGACTCTGTATTTAAAGCTTACCTCTTGTTTGAAGCTCTTTATATGGTATAAACACCCACCGAAACTTTTACAATGAAATGTTGTAAAGATTTATATTTCCCCAAGGTTTTGTTGGTATATGATAAAATGATAGCTAACCAGTCCACTATTCAGGATAGGATTTATAGTTATATGAATTAGCAAATATTATATAATTGCCACTGAATGGTTTCGACTAATGATTGATTACCATTTTTAGGACATCCTAAAGAAAAATCCTTTAGCAAATAGATAGTGGTTGAAATTTGGAAATAACTAAGAATTGTTTGTTCTTAGATTTGAATTTATCTTATTTATTAAATTCATTTAATTCACAAGAAACATCACCTTGTACGCCAACTCCTTTACACTCATCTCATTTGCAACCATCATATTCATAAACCTAACAACAGCATCACTAATATAAAGTTCAAGTATTCAAAAATTAGAGTAGAGGTTGGGATAGGTGAGTTTCGAGCATTGTTCAGTCACAAACTTTAGATTTTCGAGCTTCAGTAAAGTATTCAAATGTATATCGAGTTTTTAAATATCAAAAATAATTATATTGATCTATATATTTAAAGTTAAATCTTAAGAATAGTAAATTGCAAAAATTTTCGTGCCCTTCCATTCAAAATTGGGCGTAACATTGGATTAATAATGTATTGATTCCAATTTATAAGGTTTGTAAAACCGCTGATGGATTGGAAATCAGAGTTTTACAAAGTTGAATGTCGGATTGGAAATCAGTGTTTTACAAAATTGAATGTTGGATTGAAAATCTGTGCATGTGTTTTTTACTGCATAACGATTTTCCAATTTATTGGTATTAAAACTTGCCAAACTTGACTTGGTGGCTTTTCAAGCCTTTAATTCCTTACGTATCACAAATGTTGATCTAAATATGTATTGGCAGTGATAAGAACACAAAAAATACTGTAATATTTTATATAGAGTGCATGTGGGTTCGTTCCGAAATGACTGCCGATCGGTGATGGTCCTTTATTTATAGGAGTTGTACAAGGTTGGTGGCGCAGATCTCCTGAACTACGAATCAGATTTCAAGATTAGGTGTAACGTAATACGATCAAAACAAACGTTCGTTCTGCCAAAAATCCCTCATAGCTCAAAGATCAGCATAAGAAACCATCTTTTGTGCTCTAACAAAAAGGTTTCGTTGAACAATTTTACTATATAAACTATCACCCACTAGATCCTAACTTTGACCTAACCTAACCTTACCGAATTTTAAGAATTTAGTCTCCTTGTACACATTTACGATATGCGATTGGCTGTACTAATTATTCACTTGTAGGATTAATTGTATGATTAACCAAAGTTTCAGTACTCCGATAGTAAAACTGGGGCACGAACCTAGCATAACTATCAAGATCAGTTACATACGGAGTTTCAACGATTAGCATGACGATTCTATAATATTAATAATCTGAAACTATACGTCAAAATCAAACCAGTTTAACGCTAATAGAAGGACCTACATTAAACACTTCAAGGAGGCATAGATTCTGTGTATGATAATTTCAAGTAACGCATATTTCTTTGTTCGTATTTTTTAATAAGCAGTTTTTTTTTATTAATCCTCTTGGAAAATGGATGTTTATTTCTTCATTTACTATAAAATTTCGGGTTTGGGTCAAAATCCCGACAAAAAAATCCCGTCAGCTAAAAATCCTGACAGTCAAAAATCCCGACAGTTAAAAATTCCGACAATTAAAAACTCTGATAAAAAATATCGTAGACCATAGCAAACCCCCTTATTTAAAGTGACTAACTCTAAAATTAATTAAATTATAACATATCCATACTTCGAATTAACTCGAGTCAAGACTATGCTTTTTAAGCTACGAGTTGACTCGAGTCCAGTCTCTATTCACATAGAAGTTATTGGATATATACATAATCTCATAAAGTCAATAAAAAAAAAAAAGCTTACCAAAAATATTGATTCAAAGAATGATAAATGATAAAAATATTGATTCAAAGAATGATAAATGATAAAAGTGTGCGTGTGAAGAGTCTTCCAAAAATATGAAGAAATATAAATATATTTTATTGCCTAAATAAAAGATTTGTTGAACACTTTTTTTCATACCAGAAAATAAAAGTCATTTAAACACTTTTTTAAAAATATTAAAAATTACTGGAATTTCGTTTGTTTTTTTTTTTGATAAATTTTATCGAATCGGTTTTTACTTTGTTATGCAGTCGATATGTAATTGATCTTGATAGTTGGGCATCTGATCTTTGCGAAGTAATTGTACTATTTATTCTGAGAATGTATACTTGTAATAGTTCTTGTAAATAATTCCTTACATAAGTTTATTATCTTTTATAACATATTGTACATATTATATTTATTGCAGCATTGTCGCGACTGATGCTGAGATTTAGGGTCCCTATTAACTCCGATAAACCTTCTAAAATCACGAACCAAGAATCTCTCAAAAATCAGTTTCTGTTTTAAAACTGATATTTTGATTTTGCATTGCTATAAATGTTTGAAACATAAAACAGAAAAGCTTCCGAAAAGCTTCCGAAAATTCGTTAGATATAGTGTAGAAAACTTTATAACCATTACGAAGCTCTTATTAATATAGATAATAATGTATTAATGATAATTGTGGGTTTTATTTTGAATTGAATAATTATGTATTTCATAATTAACTTTTTAGGACGAAAAACCTTCTTCAGCGAAAAGAAAACGACTGTATTTGAGAAAATTTTCGATCCAATCAAAAAGATGGTAGGGAACTTAGGAGGGTTTGAAAATGCGAAGACATTGATAAAGGCATGAAATGGACATAACGTAAACACTTTCTAATGGCAATAGACTTGCTTGAATATCTAAAAAGTTGTGTAGATTCATTAATTCTTATAATCTTAAAGAAATCCGTAGATTAATAAAAAAATGGATCTCTTGCAGTATGGGCAACACCCATTCTAAATCAACTGATTAATAATATATTTTATTAGTAGTGTCATGTATACTGCAAGAGATCCTAAAAAACTTTAAGAGCGTACAGATATATTATGTAAATGAAATTGTACAAGGAAAATTAGAGATAAAAAGAAAATGCAATTATTTAATTTAGGCTTTAACTATTCATAACGATAATAAATTCGAAATTACGTGTCCAACCAATAAATTGTATTCGTTTAAGAAACCATCTTTTTGCCATTGTCGTTATAAGAAATAATGAACGAAAATAAAAAATATCGAGGTTCATTTACTGTTTTCAAAACTTGAGATAACGAATTTTTACGTAGCGAATATTTCGATATAGCGAAAAATTTTTATGAGAATATTCTTCTGATATATCCAAATATTTCCATATGCCAAAGGTAGTGGACTTCATTATATCGATATATCAACCTATCAGAGTGCTGTTATTTAATTTTAATTAGATTCTACTAAAGTTCACATCTCTTTTATTAATAACATTAACCCTAAATTCTAACTCAAAATGCATTCCAAAAAACTTTTAAAACTTATTAAAATAGGTTCAATTTCAGTATCAGCCGCGATATTCATTACCGTAGTGCACTGACCAAAAGACTTTCAAGTATATGCATTTATAATAAGCAGTCCATAAGTTAAAAAAATTCACATTTGTTAATCAATTGAAATACAAAATTATAAAGTTACATAATATTTAGACAATATGTATTAATAAATTAGCTTTAAAAAAAACATTCACAACGGGGTATGCAATTTTATATTATTTTTATTACCATTGTTATAACATGTGTCATATTTTAATAATATCAGCATAAAGTATTGTCAACTCATTATTAATAATGTAAGGTCATTAAGTTCTATTACTAAGCTTCAATTCAGTACCAAAGTCCCTTGGTTTTTTTTGGGATTAAAAAACTAATTGCCGTGGAAAAAGTGGTACCAAGTAATATCAATTCACCAATGTGAAAAAAGTAGCCTAAATATCTTTTTTGCGGATCTCCTGTTTGATATCCCCAAGCGTAAACTAAACGACCTTTAATGTCCACCAACAAAGTATAAATGAATATCACATAAAAGATGTTAATATTGCATACTATAAATTTATTTACGAAATTAGGATATATTTTGTTAACTAGTCTTACCTAAAATCCAAATTCCACCACCAATAGAGGAAAGAATTGGATGTTTCAACCCTCCAAAGACAAGGCTAGTTTTTAGAATATTATT